AAGCGAGCAGAACCTGTACATATGTAGTTTTACTATAGATATATTTTAGTCTACCATCGCTATTTACCATGACCTGTACTTAGTTCGCAATGAGCAAAACTGTATAATAAAAGTCTTTCATTCATTCATGATGTTTTTCGCGGTTTCCCGCCAGCCCCCCTCTCAAATAAAATTTCTGACTGACTGACCTCTCCCCTCCACCTCCAGAACCACGTCAGTCAGTTCTGCCTCCTTCCTCAGACTGTTCAGTTCGCGAAGAACCGCGCTGGGATGCTCAGGGTCTGTTACGTTCATAATTAGCGATGTTTTAGAGACCTAGATCGAAGATGCAAAATTATAGTTCGTCGCTTGGGTCAGGGATGTCAGGGATGTGGTTACGCGCCCAATTGTCAACTTTGACCTATGACCTTTTGGTAAACCTTATTACCCACATACTATCCTTTCCTTCGCGCATAACCGATAACGTCACATGTTTGTGTTTTATATAGTAGGGCATTCAAATACTTTTGGGTCGGACTTGCTTGAGTGTGGGGGACATTTTTTTAAGTAAAAAGTACTGGCCAAATCATGTGGCTCTGCATGGGGGGATCCTGGCAATGCTTAACGGCTAAATTCACGAAGGCTGCCAATGCTTAATGGTAAATAAACTCGATCTTGTGAAAGAGTTTGAAGCAATTTTATTGGCAACGTAGACAATACATGTGTGATGGCAAATAACAAGCATTCAGTAAACAAGATGTAGTTTTTCTTCGCAGTGTATTGGACTTTCGTTAGAATGATTTTGTCTGATGTTCAGTGAAGAAACTTTGAAAATGATATTGATTATTATAAAAGGAAATGGACATCTCCTGTTCAAAATTAATCTCCCAAGTCCCAACAATCTAAGGTCACATGTAGTTTACACCTTCTTTTATAATGCTCTATGTCATCACTTCAGCGTTACCGTGAGGCTGTCGCTGTACACAGTAATGAATTTTACCATATTATATTGCGTCGCTGAGAATTTTTCCCTTCATATCATATATGCATACACTAGCCGCGGCGACTGTTGCAGGGCTTCTCTTGCTTGCAGTCTTTTACATGTTGTTAGGGCTAATGTAAAAGACTGCAAGCAAGAGAAGCCCTGCAACAGTCGCCGCGGCTAATGCATACACGTGCTTACAGTGCACGAATACACTCGTACACTCAAGGATCTGGTGTTCAGCCAAATCCTTGAGCTGCCACATACACGAGAGGTCAGGTGTTTAGGGCAAGAGTTAGGTCTAGGGTCG